ACAGCTTCAAACTGAGCATACCTTGTGAAATCTCTATTACCAAGGATCATCTCAAAGCAGTAAAAGCAGCAATTTTTTCAGGTGTCAAGCTCTGCTCTCCTGTGATTGCAAAATATTCTTTTGACTTACAGAGTTTGCAGGTTTCCAGGAGAGTGAACACAAGAGTATCTCATGAAATGGGTGATTGCTGAATGGGCTAACATAGGGGCAAACTTACTGTTCTCTTTGAAAAATTAAATATAGACCCCAAATTAACTCCTTTAACCACAGAGAGTGGTAGGTTATTTAAAATCTGAACCTGGAGGAAGTGATTCTAATACATTTTCTTTATAATAGATGCAAAATCTGAGATGCTGTTTTTTCAAAAAGGAAAGTCTGAAGTCTGTTTCTTTATTTTAACTCAATTACTCTTTGCCTTTTTTTCATCTATCTTCAGCTAAAACAAAAAACAATTTGAGTAAAAGAAAACGGATATAATACAGACTGGAAAACTTTTCTGTTGAAGGAAGTTTTTTGTTTGTTTTGTTTGTTTATTTGTTTGTTCCTTTGCTTATTTTGGTTGGTTGGTTGGTTTAGTTTGGTTTGGTTTGGTTTTTACCCTTCAAAATGTTTTGTTTTTGTCCTCTGTGATCAAGTGAAATACATGTTCATGGTTCTTTATGGCAAAAGTCTGTAATAACGAAGCCTTAAGTTAAATCAGTATGCTTTTGTTTGAAGATTTTGAGCTAATTCAGAATGACAGTGATGTAACTAAAGCATCAGAATTACATTGTCCATAGATTGTTGGCTCTTATTTGAAAAATTGATTTTTTATATAAAATAGTTTCTTTAAATGCAGTTATATTTAACACATGTTAGATTAACTAAAACAATAGTGAGTAACAGTAATTGCACTGCTCTTGCACTCTTCTTGACCTTATCTTCTATCCTTTTTGTCATGAGTCTCTGTGGGTTCTCTGGCAAAAGAATTCTCCCTATTCCCATTGTTTTTGAAGAAAGATTTATTATTAGTTTTGAATGGTTTTGTTACTCTTTTATAAACTCTCTCTTGGCCTGCCTTGCTACTTTAATGTCCTCCTATTTTCATGTTTTGGACACAGCAGGCTTTTTTGAGACGTCCTTATATGTTAAACTTTATAGATAAGAAAAATCAATGGTATTTCGAGTGTTTTGTTCCATGTGAGGTTGTAACACATATGTTGATAGCATGCTAGTATATTTACTAATAGCCTACCTATAACAAAGATCTTGTGGGAGCTGAACAGTGTTCTGTTTACTTTTCCATATATAGGTGTTACCATGCTTAATGTTACTTGATCTTTGTTATTACAGAAAACATCCAATATCAGAAAATGTTCCATCATTCAACATGAAATGATGCAGCATACTATATCAATAGCACTACGCACTGCCTGCTGCTGGCAAACATATTGACATCAGCTGATAGCCTAAAACCTTGCAGATAAGGATAGGCCTTGGAAGAGTGGAAGGCAATGAAGGTAAATTCATCTAAAACATCTAATCTCTGAGATATATACAACACTATTAAGAGACATGTTGGTTTTTTAAAACAAAATATTTTGTCAGAATGGGTTTGATAAATGTGTCATGGGAAAGCATTTCTCAGATTACAACAGAATTACTTTAGAAAGCTAGCAAACTGTCTGGAACCTTTGATGAAGGTATTTGCATAAGTGATATGGAAGCTGGGGCTCTGACTCCTGATGTATCTCTTTTAGAGACAAAAATGAGGCAAATTTTTAAAGAAGAAGAAGGAGGAGGAGGAGGAAGATGAGAAAAGGGAGAAGGAGGAGGAGGAGGAGGTGGAGAAGGAGGAGAAGAAGAGGTAATGCAGTGTAGGTTGGATTGTTTGTCCTTCATCTCAGGTTAAGTCACAACTTAGAAAGTACTCCCAGTTCTTGACTGTTATGCAAATGTAAAGTGGAACTGCCAAAGAGAAGCCAGTAATTACATATTACTCATTCTTTTGGAAAATCCAAGACTTCACTGCTGAAAGCCATTCCTATTTCATTCCTATTGAACTGCTGGAAGCCTTTCATTCTTCCACTGAACATATGTTCACTGTGTTGTGATTTAACCCGGCTAGCAGCTAAGCACCACACAGCCAGCTGTTCACTCACCCTCCCACCTCCCTCTCTGGGTGGGGGAGAGAATTGGAAAGAAGTGAAAATTTGTGGGTTGAGATAAAGACAATTTATTAGGACAGAAAAGAAATGATGATGATAATAATAATAATAATAATAGTACTACTAATAATTTGTATGAAACAAGTGGTGCACAATGAAATTGCTCACCACCTGCTGACTGATGCCCAGCCTATCCCTGAGCAGCCAGGCCTCCCACCCTGGTCAGCCCCCCATATTAATTGTTCAGCATGACGCCTTATGGTATGGAATACCCCTTTGGCCAGTTGGAGTCAGCTGTCCTGGGTCTGTTCCTTCCCAGCTCCTGCTGCACCCCCAGCCTGCCCACTGGCAGGACAGAGGGAGAAGCTGAAAAGTCCTTGGCTTGGTGTAAGCACTGCTCTGCAACAATTAAAACATCAGCATGTTATCAGCACTCTTCTCATTCTAAACCCCAAACACAGCACCATACCAGCTACTAGGAGAAAAACTAACTCTATCCTAGCTGTTTTTTCTCTGACACAACAGAAAACAGGCATGACTTCAGATTTATACTGACTGAGAGTTTGAATTCTCCGCTGTTGGAATATGTGGTCTTCTGGGATCAGTAACTTAACTAATGTAATGAATTCAATGTCAAGCTTCCAGAGAAGCAGGTGACATTTAATTGAACCGAACATAAAGTCATAAAATTTCAGATTTTCAAGTGCCTTATCTTTTCCTTTTTTAAAGTCTATTCATTTACTGCCAAGAACTCAGAACAAGGCTTGCTGCACTTAAATAAAAGGTGATGTTCTGGAATGATTTGCACCTAAGCCTAGGAATTGATTGCCATTTCCTTCTCCTTCTTTAATGCTTCTTTGTCTATTGCTTAGGAGCTGTGGACTGCTAGAAGTGATACATGGGATCTGAGGTATTTCAAAGCTACAAATGCACACACATCTCCAACACAGCTCAGACAGACCCAACACACTTAGCTGCCTTCTGCCCTGATTCCAAACAATGCAGTTGCTTTCCTCACAACATTTCTGCCCTGTTTGCACATCACCCACCTGCCATGCAGAATTGTCCCATTAGTGACAGGACATTCGGGGAAGCTTTGTGCAATGTTTCTTGCTAGGAACTCACTGGGAATAGACAGTAGCTCCAGCAGCACCTTAGGCACTTCTGTTTGTGTCCTAACTTGGTCATCAGAAAGCTTCTGGGAAAGAGGAGCTGGTTAGACAGGAGTAGTTTAGAGTATTGCCTGTGCTGACAGAAATAATAACCCCTGTATGGCTGAGTCATTAGTAAGCATGTATTATATCACGAGAAATAAAATTGATAGTCAGGCTTTCAGCAGTTCTACATCCATTTGTACCACATTACTGTAATAGTCCTCATTTCCTTCTTACAACCCTTAGATAATTGCAGGCCCACCCTGTACTGCCTAACCTTTATTTCATTGCCCCTAGCTCTCTTCTGTGTCCCTAATTATTCCTACAGTATACTCAGCTCTCTCTCCCCTTTTATCACTTATTTGGCTAAAGAAGAGGAAGAAGAAGAGGAAAATGTGGGGAAACTACCTAGGGTAGGCTGCAGTTAGACACATGTTGATTACTTTGTTGTTGGTTGGTTTTTTGTTTGTTTGTTTGTTTGTTTTTTGTTTTTTGTTGGTTGGCTTGGTTTTTCTTTTCATACAGAAGAGTGTGAATGCAGTCCCCTACCAACATAGATTATTTAGTTTTCTATGTTCAGGATATATTAGCAAGAGTGTAGCTAACACATCATGGAAATTCACTCTTCCCCTCCACTCAGCAACTGTGAGACCACAGGTGGAGTTCTGTTTTCAGATTTTGCTTCCAAGTACAAGAACAACATTAGTAGACTGGAGGGAGTCCAGTGGAAGGTAATTTGGATGGTTAGTGTCTGGAACAAAGAGAGAAACTGGGACAGTCTGTTTTACTCAGCCTGGAGAAACAAAAAGGGAATATAATTGCAGTCTTTCACTATGTAAAGTGGGATTATAGAGAAGACATCTTCTCAGAGGTGCATAGTGAAAGGACAAGACACAAAATATAGTAACAGAAATTCTGATTTAAAGAAAAAAATATATAGAAAAAAATATGTAGAAAATATATATATATTATATCTATCTATCTATCTATCTATCTATAGAAAATATATTTTCACAACAATGGATGGTTAAGCATGGGAGCAGATGATGTGGACTCTTCATCCCTGGAGATACTCAAAACTTGACTGGATAAGCTTTGAAGTTAGCCTTACTTAAAATGAAATATTGGATGAGACAATATCAGAAGGTCTTTTTCAATGAAAAATTAATTTATGATTAAATATATATAGCTTGATTATTCTAAAACTTCTCCTTCTTGGTCTGATTTACTTAATATTCACCAACCGGCTTAAAAGTTCTATGATGAGGGGAGCAGGAGTGGAAGAAAAAGATGACTGACAGAGAGATGAATGAACAAATAAAATAAGGTTATAAAATTCCTTTCCCTAGAGATATACTTGTCCTGTCCACTGACAGGTAGACAATGGTAGACATTTAGCCAACACCATTCCTGAATAGTACTGAGTGCAGTAACAGAGACAGATTAGGAATAGGAGTTTCCTTCTGTGTTGTACTGAATGTTGTATTTTTGCTGCCCAGATTCCTATGTAGGCATACAATAGCCCTGAGTTATGATTACTTCTGTTTGGTGAGATGTTCCTAGGGAAAAATCTTCACAGAACAAGGAAATACTTTAGCCATGGCAAAAATTAACAAGTTGAAACATTAAGCAACCTTCACACAATGACGTTAATCACAGAGCTAAGCTTCAATAAAACAGATTGGCAGGAACCGGTCTGGCTAGCTCACAAAGCTATGTGAAGTATGAGAGCTTTCCTAATCTGTTGTTTGAGAATTCTAAGAGTGTGAGAACATACAGGTGAGAGGAAGATGAACCTATGCAAATTTTATGTAGATATTTTTTGTTAGAATATGACTGAAGCTGTGAAGGAGGAGCACCATCCCAGGCCAGTTTAAAAGCCAGAAGACAGGCTGTCCACTTGAGATCAGTCTCTCTTCTTTCTTCCTCAAGGACAGAGATGTGGTCAAGGATACTTCTCAGTATTTTCTGCTTGAGTTGGATCACCACAGTGTCTTCTGAACCGTAAGAGATAATACCTTATGTGTTTTTATGATACAATATTTCATTTTTTTTCCTTGTAGTTAATTTATCATGGAACATCAATATGTAATATAACCTAGATTCTGAAATATGTTTGAAATTGAAGTAGATAACAATGAAGTATGGTTTGGAATGATGTTCTCCATCATAAAACTGCTGCAAAATCTTATTTGAGTGACAGAAACCTAGAACCAGAGTAGGTAAAATCTGAAGTGCATTGAGAGGACATTCAAGACTAGCTTAGCAAGTAGTACTAATGATCAGTACAGAGTGAGAGTGTCCTACTGGGCAGGTAATGTCTGGTTCCAAGGAGCTATGCTGAACAGTAATCCTGTTGTTATTATTGTTATTGTTATTGTTATTGTTATTGTTATTGTTATTGTTATTGTTATTGCTACACTTGCTATGCTATGAGGGCTTATACACCACTGTCAGTGTCTATGGCTTTATGAAAATCAAAGATTTCAGTCACAGTTTTCAAAAGTACACCATTTGAGAAAGGGATTTAACCCTTCTCAAAAGTGCAAAAGGAAAGCACTGTGAGGTGTTTAACTTTCTCAGATACACTGTTGTTTTTAATTTTTGTTTTAATCATTATTTTAATTTTGATCTTTGAATATCATACATTCTGACTTAAGCAAGTGAAAATAGCAATAAAGACAATATGAGTAAGCAAAAATCGAGATGGAGGGAAAGGAGGGAATGGATCCAATTATCAAGAAAAGATTGTGATTCATATTGCATTGAAGACCTAAATCATCAGCTCTGTCATGCATTATTTCTTTCACATGTATAGCATTTCTGTGGTGTTTTCCTGTCCTGTTTGCTATTGCTTTCCTCTGTGACTGAACTCTCTGAACTGGTCTTGCCTTCTTGCAGTCAGTATGTGTTGCTGGTACCAACAGTAGTGAGGAGCGACTCTCCACAGACCGCCTGTGTGCAGTTCCACAGCCTCAGTGAGCCTTTGTCCCTGAGCGTTGTCCTGGAATACAACAACATCCAGACAACTCTCTTTGAGGAGTTTGTAACAAAGAATGATTTCTTCAAGTGCTGCGAGTTCAAGGTATTTTCTCTTTTGAGACTACTAAAGAGGGTGTAGAAGCTGGAAATATTTCAGTGCCACTGTCTTTGTCAGTGAGAGTATAAAGGTGAAAAGTGCAGGCATACAATATGACAAAAATAATATTAAACCGTTGGAAAAGCTGACAATAAAGACAGAAAAAAATAATAAAGATATCTGGGTTGTAGAGGAGAGCTGGAGAAAGGCTTTTCATCTCCCTTCATAGAGTGAATAGAAAAACGCTTTTAATTGCCATCCCAGGTGCATATGTCCTATGGAACTGTCATAATTGCTAAGGGAGAATTGTCAAGTCACTGGAGAATCCAGAAGGGAAATGCTCATTCCCTTTTCTATGACTCTGCAAGATCAGGACAAATATGACAAACAAGACCCAAGATTACGTCTTCCAGAATGCAGCAGGATAAACACATCAGAACTGAGCTGTACAGCTAGGAAGCTTGCTTGCCTATAGGCACGTAGCTACATGAGATGAGCAAATGCTTAGGATAGGGCATAGCTTAAAACCTTGCTACATGGTGACAGAGATTTCCACAGCATAGTTTACCAGAGACTATGTCACTGGTAAATGTGGGGTTTCTCATGACTTAGCACAAGCTATTAATGATTCACTTCACAGTCAGTATCTTACTCAAGAATCCGAAGCATCAGCTTACTTCAACATGCCTCATTTAACACTTTTCTTCTGGGGTTTTGTTTCTCTCCAGGTTCCTCCTGCTGGTTCTGACCCCTTGGCATTCATTTCTTTCTCTGCCAAAGGCTCCACAGTTCACTTAGCTGAGAGAAGATCAGTGGCAATCGAGAATGTGGATAACACTCTTTTCATCCAGACGGACAAACCCATCTACAAACCAGGGCAAAAAGGTGGCTTGGGAGTTTGAGTCAGATAGTGACCTGGGAAAATAAGTGCAAGGGTGGGTCAAGAATGACAAGGACTTCTCTTGTGGAGGAAAAAACTGCAGACTGCGAAGACAATGTATAGTGTATAATTGTCATCAGATAGTGTGTAATTGTCATCTGACTTTGGGCACATCAAAAGTCAGTGAAAAACAGAACCATTTCATAGAATTGCAAGAAACAAATAGGGTTCATGTGCCTTTTCTGCGTTAATTTCATTTACATAATTTTGAGTTCTGCCAGATTTACTGAGATCAATCATGCAAAGAGCATCCTGAAAAAATACAGAAAATAATAGGTTAAGCTTGGAATTAAAATTCATATAAAATAATTTGAGCATGTTGTTTCCTGTCAAGAGCTCTTTATAGTTAACTATATAGTTAACTATAGTTAGCTATAGTTAGCTAATCTAATTAGCTAAACTAATTCTTAGAGCTGGTTTAATTACCATAGTTAAATGACTACTGTCTACTGTTATAGTTAGTTGTATCTTTTGTTTAAGCAAGTTACAATGCTGCAGGGTTTAAAATCAGAATAAAGACACCGTCTTCCTTCATTTTGATTGTTTCATTGAAGTGATTTGTATAGGTAGTTTCTTAGGAAACACTCCAAAGAACTGAATCCTTCAAGAACAACTGATGATAATGTAGGATATTTGTATTCACTTTATAAGTTAGTTTAATCCTGGATGGTCAGTATTAAAGACATTTCAGCTGATAAGGGTTTTGTTTTGTTCTGTTTTGTTTTTCACTGGCTAGGATAAGAAAATGCTTTCTCGTTCTCTAATTTCCAAGTACTTATTAGTTCCTCCTAAAAGCCTGAACAAATTTTGTTTCAGTTATGCATTGAAAGTAATTTACCACTGCTAAAGTAAATAATATTTTTTGGTCCTATATATTTTTCAGTGATGTTTCGTGTGGTCAGTTTGGATAGCCAGTTCAGACCTGTTCAGGAGATGGTAAGTAAGAGTGATAGTCAAGATTTTTCAAGCTCTCTTGTGGGGTACCTTTTCAAAGAGACTCTCTCACTTGTATATTGAATAAGAAGGGACTGGAACAGGCCTCCTGCTATTTTGGGAGAACTTCTGTTAGTTGACGCCTCATCTCTTTCCTGCCTTTATAGAGGGCAAAGTTTCTGAAAGCACTCCTGGAAATCTCTCACAGTGCTCAGATTTGGTAGTCACTTCACCTCACCTGCCCCAGATCTGTAGAAAGAGATTGGATGCTTCTGTAGAAAACATAAATTCATAAACAAGTTATCCCCCTAGAATTATCTCTTAAATTACAGACATGAATTTCAGATCATTTCCCTGACACAGTCTTCTGTATTCAGAGAAAGGGGTTCACAGTGTTCTTTATAGCCTAGTATTTTTCAAGCTCCACAGTTAATTTCTTGAAGTTTTGATAATTTTTTTTCCTTTCTTTTCTTTTTTTTTTTTTTTTTCTCCTCCAGTATCCACGAATCATCATTGAGGTAAGAGACGCCACATCATTAAAGTGTAAATTTCTTTGGAAAGGCCACAGCCTTTGCAATGCTTCAGCATTCCTAAAACATGGCTTTCTCATTTGCCATTTCAAATGCATACTCCTCACTAGCCCTTCTGTGAGTACCGAGTATCCAAAACAAATGAAATCTATTTCCATCACAATTTAGGAAACTTGTCATACACAGATTATGGGAGAAGGCTCACAGAAAAGTGTTCCTAGATGATATCAGCTCTAGTATACAAGTAGTGCACTTTCAAATGCTTGTGTGAAAAAGGTTCTTATCTAATAGTACGCAAGAATATTTACCAGAATTGTAAATAAAGCTCAAATCATTCATTCTTAATAGAGATGTATTATATTTAAGAATCACAGATGTCAAATGTGTCAAATTTTTGTAAGTCAGAAGATGTGGGTCTTCCACCTCTTTTACAACTGTTTTAATACAACTTTGAAACTGAAAGTTTTCTCCCAGAATCTTTGGAAGTCAGCATTGATTTAGGTCAGCAAGACTTAACATCTCTAGATGATGGAAGACGTAGTTTTCACCTTTTCCCATGCACTTTATTACCTTGGATAGAAAATAATTACACACTGCTGTAGAGGTTGCAAGTGGTTCCTTCTCAAGTAATTCTAACAATCATTTTTAAAAAAAAACTTAGGCTTGTTTAACGTGCAAAGAGATCTGGAAAACTAATGGTAAATCAGAATGCACATTATCAGCCCAAACTCCCATTCATACAGTAATGCACTAAGCCAGCATGCCAGGATACAAAACTTAAAGAAGAGAAAAAAGAGGGTAACAAAGGTTTTCATTTTTCTTTTTATCCCACTCTTCAGGACCCAGAGCAAAACCAGATCCTGCAGTGGTTGGACGTAACATCTACACATGGCATTGTCCAGCTTTCCTTCCCATTAATCCAGGAGCCAATCCTGGGGTCCTACCACATCGTTGTGGAGAAGAAGTCAGGGGATAAAGAGTACCACTTCTTCACAGTGGAGGAATATGGTAAGCAGGTGCTGTGAACTTCACTGTGTCAGAGGCTGGCTCTGTCCAAGTTGGATGGGAGGTTTTAGTAAAGACTTTAAGATCTTTGAAATATCCTGTTTATGTCTAAGAAAGAAACACATGGAGAGAGCTGGGTGGAGCAAGAGAAGGCAAGAATTAAAAAAGAAATGCTGAAAGAGACAACATTTTTCATGAATTAAGATCCATGCCCTATCACTCAGGTGTTACATTCTTCATTTGTTCAGAGGCAAAATTAATGAGACCTGACTCATTCCTGTCCTGTTTTGTGGAGGTATCATTGTATGAAGAGCACTAGGATAAAATATGCAGCAGAAATCTGAGGAGGTTTTCTATCAGACGGTAGATGATGGTTACCAGGTCATTACTGGAAGACGCTGGATAACCAGTGGAAGTGCAAGATGGAAAATAATGAGCAGTGGAGGTGCCAAAGCGTTCATAGTGATCCCCTTACAGGGGAGTCACCCAATTCATTTTAATTTCACAATTTTTTCATCTTATAGGTTGTGGCAGGTTTTCCCTAATAATGCCTAGAGAAGGCTTGGACAACTCCCAGCCTTTTTTTCTTTTTCTTTTTCTTTTTCTTTTTCTTTTTCTTTTTCTTTTTCTTTTTCTTTTTCTTTTTCTTTTTCTTTTTCTTTCTTTTTCTTTCTTTTTCTTTTTCTTTTCTTTTTCTTTTTCCTTCCTTTTTCCCTTCTTTTTCCCTCCTTTTCTTTTTCTTTTTCTTTTTCTTTTTCTTTTTCTTTTCTTTTTCTTTTTCTTTTCTTTTTCTTTTTCTTTTCTTTTCTTTCTTTTCTTTTTCTTTTCTTTTCTTTTCTTTTTCTTTTTTTTTTTTTTCTTTTCCCTTCCTTTTTCTTTCTTTTCTTTCTTTTTCTTTCTTCTTTCTTTCTTTCTTTTTTTTTTTATGGCAGTGTAACACCTTTCCTGCTCACCCACCAGATGTCTTTCATACCTTTCAGTCTCCTGTGTACAGGTGTGTGAAAAAAAGGCCTGTTCCAGCTGTGTTTTTGTTATTGCTGGTGACCTGGAATAAAGGATAGGCTGAAAAGGGGGTGTGACAAAGGAGTGGGACCTGTTTTATTTTACTGTTTCACTTAATCAGTGACCTTTCTTCTTCAGTAGGGCTGGATTGCGTAGTATCTTCTGCTCTACAGGGCTTAACTATATTTACACATCAGTATTACTCCCACATTTCCCTTGAAGAAAATGCATGCCCAACTAAAGTGATTTATCATAGTTTCTACTGTGGCTATTATCATTATTATGATGGTTATTATTGCATTTAAAAGTTATTCATCTTACTGTTTAAGTGAAATTTATTGTCCAATAATATTATACAGTGAAATCATAGGTAGACTTCTTTCTCCCATGTTGGTGAAAATGCTTTTGCCAACTACTGTTTTTTACTGTCTTCCTCATACACACCTGCTTATGGCATGCTACCGCTGATCAATCATATTCACCTTGCTTTCCCAGTGCTGCCAAAGTTTGAAGTGACAACTAGTGTGCCTAGGAGGATCTCCTTCTTTGATGAAGAAATCAGGGTGAATGTTTGCGCCTCGTAAGTATTAAAGCTGAGAATGACATATATGTGAACAAGAAACATGGGAAAGAGGAAGGTGTGACATGCTGTGAAACAAGAAGCCTGCTGCTGATTCATGTATGGACTGTAGAATTCCTTTAGCTATGGCTTCCATGACATGAAACATGAAGATAACTCCACTCTGCTCCATAGAAGAATTAGAACCGGGAGGATTTGTGTTTGTTCAGCAGTCTGAAGGTGTCAAATGGTACATGCTCAATAGCTGTTGATTTTATAGTACAGAGGAGAGAAATAGTAAGGAGGACAGACGATCAATAGGATTTCTGGTTGTAACATTGCCAAAAGACAGAGTGGCATAAGCCTGAGCACCAAGGACTGCAATACGTCCTGCTTTGTGTAAGGCAATAATGAGGAAAACCAAGCAGGAGGGAATAATATCCCAAACCTGAGTCCAGCATCCTTTTCCAGCTGTAGGCCTTAAAGAATGGCTGCACCAAATCAATCATAAAGCGGGCTTTTAAAATAAGATGCCAAAGACTGCCTAAAAATAGTTGAAGGGAATTCAGGTAGGGCTAACTGGTCCTAATTCCTAGCTGCTCTTCTGACTGTGCTCTGGGCACTTCTGAGGGATTTAGAGCCTGCAACACCCCACAGTATTTGCAGGTTTCATGCTAATTTGACATAATTGGATTCTTGTTTCTTCTCCTCTCTTAGGTACACTTATGGCCAACCAGTGCAGGGGAATGCAAGAATCAATGTGTGTCAGGAGCGTTTTTATAGCCCACGATGTAAGCAAAGCCGGAAACCAACCTGTGAAGCTGTCACCGGACTGGTATGATACAGGCCTAAGGCTTTCTTCCTGTTGAACTTTACTACTCAGCATGTAACACAGTGTATGAAGGCCCCATTCATTTTCTGGGGAACACCAGAGAGATAATCCCAGAGGCATATTTTTGTCTCAGTATCTTACAGGCAATGCTGAAAGACCACAAAGGTAGTTTTTACCAATGACCTCATAAGGCTGGCTTTTGCCATTCCCCTTCAAGAAAGGGGGAGAAAGGAAATAATTTTTCATTAGAAATTTAAGTTCTGACACTTAAGAGTCAATTAGAGGGATGGAAACTTATAAAACTATGAATTTGTGATTATTCCTAAAATGCTAGATCTGTGTTCTTACTGGGGATAATCAGCAGACCTCTGCTGGGAGTCTTTAAGGACACATTGTTAAACTGATTATTAATTTCTCAACTACATCAGGTTCAAAGTGCTTTAAAGAAGCTCTTATAATAGAGCTCAAGCATCATACAAGGTGGGTTTGAGAAGGGATGTGAGTGCAGAGAGGATGAGGGGCAGGGAGGAGAGAAGATTCTCCGCGAAATGGTGGGGAGCTGGAGGGTAAGAAGTGTAAAGTAGAAGGGGAGTGAGTAAAAAGTAAAAGCTGAAGGAAATGTGAGCAGAGGCATGAAGCTCTTCAGAGACCTGATAATACAGGTTGAGGAGCAGTTTTCCAAACCTTGAGAACAATGGGCTTTTCTATTTGTGCTCTTTTTTCAGCTTGGGAAGGATGGTTGTCTCAGCACTGTCATCTCCACCAAAACTTTCCAGCTCTACCGCAGCTATGCCAGGATGTATGCCAGGCTCAATGTAGAAACCATCGTCACTGAAAATGGGACAGGTAACACTAAGTGAAGGTTGAGAAGTAGTTGAGTAAGTCTAAAGGGTAATAATTCTTGAGAGGAATCTCCTGGATCCCAATCTGTGCATCAAATGGTGAACAATCACCATTTTATGTGTAGCTCTTCCTCCAGAACACCACTTCTCCATATTAACTTTCAAAAGAAACTGTTTTCTGCCCATTTCTGTTTTCTCCCCTTTATACTGGGTGTGTTTTACAGGTATCCAGATAAAAGACTATGACTATGTTGCAGTTAACCAAGAAAATGACAGAGTGATGTTCAGGAATATGGATCTGTATTACAAGAGGGGAATTCCTTACTTTGGTGAGGTGAGTAGCTGAGAAGATACATTTAGAAAGAACTCCCTCAGGTCCAGCATGATTTCTATGTTGCCCTGTTTATGTCTGCCCTTTTAGCATGTACTGATAGCTTCCCTTGATAATGTTGCATAGCAATGATTGCTGCATAGTTCTGACATTATATTAGATGTTCCTAGAAAAAATAAGAAAATTGTATCGATAATGCCCTCAGCCATAATTAGAGAATGCCTGAGAGATGGATAAGTGAAAGGTCATATGTGGTGAAGACAGGTCTGCAAGAAACTACTGCAGCAACAGCAGTGCCTAACTGAAGGCAAAATTTACCCTACATTGCATCATGCAGTCATGCGGATGTTTACTTATAGCAGTACAAGTGCTAGAGAACATCCAAATTCTTCCCAACCTGCACATTCAGGATAAACCCAGGCACAGAAATAAGGATGAGCTATTCAGCATTGTCCTTATATGCAGTGCAGAAGAAAAGTTGCATATGGATGTCCAGAAGCTTACTGAATTATACTCCCCGAAAATGTCCTTAGTGCTTAAGTTATTATCCTCTGGTGAGCAGAAAATTTCTCACTTTTTTTTTTTTTTTAAACCAAATCCTTTGTGTATTTTTTGTGTTCAGATCAGTGTGACAAATATGGAAGACAAGCCTCTTGCCAATAGGATAGTCGTGCTGGAGGTCAATGGAGAATACCATGCCAACTACACCACTGACAAGAATGGCATTGCTGCCTTTTCCATCAACACATCTGACTTCTTTGATCCCAGTTTTAAGCTGAGAGTAAGTATGAGCCCCAGTCTAACTCCTGAAAAAATACTTCATCAGAGAGAGGAATTATAGAAGCAAACAGCGGGTGCTGGCAAATTGTTTCAGGTGGGGAAAGCAGGCACTCAGTCCACCAACACCTGCAACTTGTGCAAAACCAGTATGAGAAAATGTTAATTCCTGAGAAGCAGCAGACTGCACCTCAGGAGCGTTTTGTCTGCAGTGATTTTCATCACCTCCCTACTTTTTCCTCAGCTTAGAAGCCCTTTGTGCTGCCATCTTTCTTCTTTTTATTCTGTGGACTAGAGGACCTTCTTCACAACCTGCCCTGCCTTCCCCACCCAGCTTGGTAGCACACCCACCTTCTTCCCTGCATTTCTGCTGTCAGATGTCCATGCCCATTACCACAACATGGTCTTCACATGTTCTCATGTCTTTTTTCTGTTGTGATGGGAGGAGGTGAGAATCAGTATGGTGTTTGAGACCAAAGCCATTCCAACTCAACATTAAGTCCTAACAACCTGTTCCAGTCCATCAAGAATCTGAAATACCATTCCTCCTGCAATGTGCCATGGATGTGTGGATATATTGAGGTATACAGAAATGCTTCCACTGTGGACTCAAGGAACACAAATTTTTCACACCAGCTCTTGCTCTTAGTTTAAACAACCCCACAAAACCAATTTCCCAACAGGTTATTTTAGAGGAAAGATGCCTTTGTCTCACCTGTCAATTTATTATTTTCCACTTTGTTGATTCCTCATGTATACCTCTTCTGCATCATAGGCCACACAGGCACCAGATGACTGTGCAGACTTCTTGATGTGGAGAAATGACAATGAACCTCAAGCTTTGTTCTTTGTCCGTCGCTTCTACTCACGGACCAACAGCTTTGTGAGAATTGAGCCAGTGGAGGAGAAACTAAGCTGTGGCCAGCAGAGAAAGATCAATGTTCACTATGTCCTGAACAGAAAAGGGTATAGAAATGCCAACCACACAAACTTCTACTATGTGGTAAGCGCTACCTCAGTTCCCACAATGCCTCTTTTCTTCCACCTTCTCTTGAACACTATACAAGGCAGAAATCTCCAGGTAGAAATCTCTAGGTCAGCCAGTGGCTATAAATCACAGCTTGACTTGATAGCCCCTGAAGAGCTTCACAGAACACCACTCAATGCCATTTTGTGGGGGAAGGTAGGAGGTGCTTTTGATTCCATCTCACATTTTTTCTATGCTTAGGTGACGGCAAAAGGAAAAATTGTTCTCAATGGCCAAAAGCAAGTCAGCATCTCTCAAGGTAAGTTCTAGGCTGCATTACTGCTGTTACTTCAAAGCACCATTCCTAGCAGCAGAGCATTAGTAAGTTATGTAAGATGAGATGAAAGCAGAAAACTACAGCTAAATCAGATGCTAGATCTTAAACTTCATCAAATTTCACCACTTACAGTATCATTCACTTTTGATGCAGATTCTAACTAATACTCCATATAATAATCAAATTGATCTTGTAAGTTGAAAGATGAAAACAGGAGGAATGTAACCTTTTCTGTTTTATTTCTTCTTTATCTCTTTATTTCAAAGAATATTTACAATTTCAGTTACTCTGTGACATCCAAGCCTTCACCAATTAAATATTAAAAAATTCTGAAATTTAAAGAATGGGTGTCCCCTTTGAGAGGGATATTTAGCAATTAACTGCTTGGAATTCATTGAAGTTTTGGAAATCTCCAATGAATGAGAAGAATTTAATCCTGCAAATGCAACAAATAGAACTCAAAATTTTTTTTCATTGTTAAAAACATATTTTCTTTCAGAACCAGGTCCATTTCCAGTCTTCAGTAGGTGTGTTAAGTAAGCCTAACTCCACATATAGGACCTGTAGTTTAGTATTTGTCATCTTTGGTCTTTCTCCGGGTACTCAGGCACTATGGCTGCACAGTATGTATTTCACCACAGTTTACAGAAAGGCAACCCTGTCGCATGGTTCTCCCTTCATTAAATCAGCTTGAAGCCATGTGGTTTTCCCATATTATTGGTGGCTAACCAATAGTAAGGTATGCAATAATGTGTAACTCACCAAAATATATTTGAAAGCTTAGCCCCTGCTCTAGTAGTTGTGATCCATATTGACAAGAACTTCATAGTTCTTAGTGTTAAAGAATGATCTTTTAGCTGGTCTATATAACTGGTCTATCTCATCTGATATAGGAGGTTCTAGGTTTGAGATCCAAAGGCAAAGTTTTGCTCTTTTGTAGAATCATGCACAGATTTTGCTGTCTAGCTTATACCGAGCTCAGAACCCTCTTTGCAAAGTATCCTGCTCACAGCATTATCTAGTTTGTATCTGGCATTTTGCTGATAGGAGTTTTTCCTCAGCCACTGAAAGATCAGTCTCTCAGTATCCAGCATCCCTGTTTTAAAAGTTGCAGGTGTAGGTAGGTTATGAACAAATACGTAGTCCTTCCACCAATGCTGAGACCATGTCTAATCTCTTTTGTTGGCCTCTCTTCCCTTGTTCCATGCTTCTTCCACAGTTCCCAGAGGTACATTCTCCATTACATTGACCGTCAGTGAGAAGCTTGCCCCCAGTGCTAGACTGTTGCTCTACACAGTGCATCCTCATGGGGAGATAGTGGCTGACAGCTCCTGGATACACAGTGATATATGCTTCAAGAACAAGGTGAAAAACTTTGCTTTCTTATTGAGGGCTACACCTGGTGTCTTTTTGTTGTTGTTGTTGTTGTTTTGTTTGTTTGTTTGTTTGTTTTCCTGAGGGAAGAGTTAGGGAATGACTTCATTATGAACTCTGCACTCAGGATGGCATTTAGGAATGGAAAAGGTACAGACGTGCCTAGTAACTTGAGAAGCTGTCCCTGGAATTGACACATATGCTCAAACTCAGACTAAGTTCTCAATGAAGTGGGGAGGAAGAGATGACTAGGGAATCACAGTGACTAGGAATTTTCAGTGAACAGAGATTCAGAAGGGCTGTCTAACAGCAGGAGCTTTGCCCCACAGAGAATAGAGAATAGAATGCATGCTGGTGAAAGGCAAGATTTAGATGTATGTGCCAAGCTAATTCTCCTAATTTCTATTTGTTTGTCTGACTTATTCTTTTCCAGCTCCGGCTCAAATTCTCTGAGAAGCAGGGTCTCCCAGGCTCTAACATCAGTCTCCACCTTGAAGCTGCTGCCAACTCCTACTGTGCTCTGAGAGCTGTTGATCAGAGTGTCTTCCTTCTTCGGCCTGAGCGAGAATTATCTGCTGAGAGCGTAAGACACATCCCCCGGGTTGTGTTGTTTTGATCTAGGGACATCCAGAATGACAATTCCAATGCCCACCTCTCTCTTTGTTGCTGACTGTGTTTTTCTTTTTCCTATATAAACAGGCACCTCAGTGATTGAAAAAATAAATAAAATAATAGCAGTTGTGCACTTCAAAGCTGGTAGTGGAATCCTTAATTTTGGAATGCACAGCAGCATTACACATTTTAACAGTATGCTGAAAGAAGGAGAGAAGGAGAGAAGGAGAGGAGAAGAGAAAGAAAGAAAGAAAGAAAGAAAGAAAGAAAGAAAGAAAGAAAGAAAGAAAGAAAGAAAGAAAGAAAGAAAGAAAGAAAGAAAGAAAGAAAGAAAGAAAGAAAAAGAAAATCCCATACTTTTGAAAAACTATAGAGATCCTGCTCATTTCATGCTTTCAGAGGCAGTTTTGCCTTGAAGTGAGACAGTGGATACATGCTGCACCATGAGGATGCTTTAGAATGGACTGCATTGTAAATCCTGTCACATAGTTTTCACTGGACTTACTATACTTTCAGTCTGCACTCATGAAAGTTTTTCATGGTATAACAGAGAGAGCCCTTATACTGTATCACTGTGTCTTAGAGCTGGCACACCAAAGCCCAGGGCTTTGGTGAAGCAGAATTTTGCACCTGCCTGGGACCTTTCCTTGTTTTTACATCTGTTGATCTCACCTTCCAGGTGTACTACCGGCTTCGTTTGAGTGATTTACATGGCTATTACTACAATGGACTCAACCTGCAAGATGACAAAACCCAGGAGTGCACCCCAGTCAAAACCACCTTTTTTGATGGCTTGTACTATGAACCTGTTAATGTCAGTCGTGATGGTGACGCCTACAAGATTTTCAGGGTATGTGCTCTATGTGGCTCTTTAAGTGAGAAGTAGTCCAGAAGAATTCATGCACATTAGAATTAAACTTTCTCAGGCGGTGATTCTGATCCTTGGAACTACCTTAAGCCTCCAGTCACACAATTTCTGCCTTCTCAACCCTACATCTTACTCAGGAAGACTGAGAATCACTATTAGACATGTTCACTGGGAACCTGCCCACGTTTCAGTACACATTTCCTAAACAGGACAATGACCTTGGCTCATGACCTCAGCATTCCTAGTAAAGATCTGAGTCCATTATGCAGGCCACTGGTTTCCATGGATGTCTCCATGACTTTCCTTGTCCAGTTGCAATGAACCTCTGTCAATACTGCTCTTCACAGAACACCAGGTGTCTGCATCATAGAAATGACATAGATGTAGGAGAGAAGAGTGACCTGTGACATTCAAGGTTGAAAGGTTGGCATTGTGAGGAGGGAGAAGAGAGATGAGGGATGATAACCCAGATGGGAAACATAGCACAGTATAACATAGCATAGCATGATAGCTAGTACATGCACTGAGTGACAAAATTCATTGATTCTTTTACATTCAGGATATGGGCCTGAAGGTTTTCACCAACTCTGTGCTGCGGAAGCCAGTTCTGTGCAATGAAGACATGTCAAATCGAGGAGATGACCATGTGTATTTAGAACATGGTGTCATTGGTGGTGCCTATGGCGCAGGTAAAAGAAAGTTCATGATGTGTCTCCATTCCCAGTATGCCTAGTCTTCAAAATTGCTGCATGTAGAAAATACCAGATAGCATGATGAGTTTTGGGAAATAGGTCTCTGTTTCACAGTTTGCCTCTTGTTATCTCTTGCTGACAGTCCTCACAGAAGTGAAGTCACTTCCCTCTCACTTAGGTACAAGGTGAATATGGGAAAGACAGAGAATATTGGGATGCTTCTTTCATAAATTGATATCAGTTTTTCAAGGTTTTTTATTTTTTTCACAATTAAATATTTAAATATATATATATATATTCCTTTTAAATAAAAGGAAATGCCAATGAAGAAAAATAATGCAAATTCCCAATGTTAAGAATTCACACAGCATTTAGCATACTTAGCAAATAGTCTCAAAAGCACTTTATAGATCAGCAAATGGTATGATTTATTTTTCCTCCTAGTTAAGTTTTCACAGCAAAAGAGCAAAAGTAATCATAGGTTACCACAAGGGAAATTACTGTTCAACACTAGGAAGAAGTTCTTCCCCATAAGAGCCATGCTGCACTGGAAGAGGTTCTCCAGGTTTTGGGATTTCCATACCTGTAGGTTTTCAAAACGGAGCTGGACAAGACCCTTGAGCAACATGAGCTGACTTTGAAGTTTGTCCTACTTCAAGGAGATTTGACTGGAAAACTCCAGAAGTTCCTCCCAACCTATTTGTTTTTCTATGATTCTGTGATTCTAATTTCAGCAAAATAGCAAAATACTATCATTTCCATGATATAACTGACAAGTCTGAGGAAATTGGAAACACCTCCATGCTACATTGTTTGTTTAACATCTCATCCAAGTCCACAGAACCATGGTCTTAGGTTTTTAATCTCAGTCATGTAGTTTGGTCATCTGAATCAAAGTAGTTTTCCAGTTGAGTGGATATTCAGCTCTATTTTAGTTGTCTGGACAGGGTAAAATGATTGAGTTCTAAGGGAGGTTTGTAAAGCTGTATATACTTTGGTGAAATTCTGGTCTGTGTTGACATTCGCAAATTGTAGAGAGCTAGTGATAGAGGACAAAAAAATGCCTTTGTAACCAGATGATGAGACCTTTCAATGTGAAAAAAGGTGAAGTGCCTTGTGAAATATCTACATTTTCCAGTATTTTCCCTTGGGAAGACAAAATAGGTAAAAAAAATGTTCCTTCTTATGCCCTATATTTGTTAGAGTTTTCATTTTTCATATGGGAAAAAATGGAAAAATGCTCCAATAGAATACTTAGTGTTCATTTATGCTCTCAAGCATATTTGATTGCAGTTCAGATCTCATTTAATTGTTTGTTCTGGCCTGACCTCTCTAATAGTATACTTAACCATATACAATCTTCCTAGATGAGTCAAGGATTATCGGTAATAGCCTTGTTAACACTGTTCGGAAATACTTCCCTGAGACATGGATTTGGGATCTGATTCATACTGAGTGAGTATTTTTATCTTCATTTCTTACCTTTTGTGAATTTTTGAGTTGCTGCATCTTGCTGAAATTAATTTTGGGAAGAAGCAATGGAATGTATGTCTATTCTGTAGATATGAGTCTCCTTTACTCATTGTGCTCACAGATCTTTGACATCCCAGTCTTGTTTACAGTATCAAGCTTCCTTGAACCGTGACTCATATCTGCTCTTTTCTCTGCTACTATTCTTCTGATGAGGAGAAAGAATAAGGGCTAAGAATAAAATAAGAGAATTTGTTTAGACAAAAACAGGAGGAAAACTTGTTATTGTTCATTATATTTTTTATTTCCACCAGCAGAAAACTCAGTTGTTGTTGTTGTTTTTGTTTGTTTGTTTGTTTGTTTTGTTTTGTTTTTGTTTCTTTCCAAGTTATAATAGCTTCTGCAAAGAGAGTATCTCTGTCTTAACTATGCATCCATTCTATTTTTTTTTTTATTTTTTTTCAGTATGTTCAACATTTACAAATGATATTTCTAAATTTAAAAAAACAAGTACTCTTCCAAGTGTTTTTAAAACATAGCTCACCAACACCTTCATCTTTACCTCCAACTTTATAGCTTTTAAAATATGGAGCGATATCTCATAGAAACTGAAATGAAAACAGAAGTACTAACTCAGCCAGGGGCCTATTCTGTAATTTGCCTCGAAAGTTCCAAAGATAACTTCTTAATCTGTTTTTCTTGTTTTCCTCAGTTCCAGTGGACAGGCTAATGTATTTTACACCATCCCCGACACTATCACAGAATGGAAAGCCAGTGCTTTCTGTTTGCAGAATGATGTTGGCTTTGGCATCTCCTCACCTGTTTCGCTGACAGCATTCCAACCATTCTTTGTGGATCTCACCTTGCCATACTCTGTCATTCGGGGGGAAAAATTTAATTTAATAGCCAACGTCTTCAATTACCTCGACAAATGCATCCAGGTACATCAAGTCTCCTATCAATTCTGATACGGTTTGCCTGTTTCCCAGAGTTCCTAACACTGCTTCTGTATCCTGCATAACACATTAGAAATACAGAAATAAGTGTTTAACTTATGCCGTAGCTTGACACATTACTCTTTCACCCTCTCTGCCAAGATCCATTCTTGATTCATCAGAAAAGGCCAATTAGTCCACAGAAGTTTGCTCCTTATCCCTACACAATTCAGTTATTTTTGCTGTTGAGGGAGGAACTTGAGCAGGGGGTATGGTACTGTGCAGTACAAAACAATACATACTGAGTATGTAGTATGTAGCAGTTAGTCATAAGAAGGCCTGACTGATAAAACAAGCTCAGACACCTCAGCACACTTCTGCTAAAAACAGCCATTAACAGTGGGTGGAAAAGAAACAGGCTTGCTACCTCCTTAGAGAAACGTGCCATCCTTATTTCCCAGACCCATCCTTCAGAATCAGATGACAAATAGCTTCTCCAGCAAGTAACCATCTCCTGTGACTTGCAGCTTAATTTTAGGGACAGTCTACTTCATTTGTAATCTTGCTCTTTCTCTCTGTTTCTCAGGTCAGTGCCATACTGGCAGAGTCGAGTGACTACAAGGCAGAAGTCCTTTCACCAGAGGGAAACACAGCAAGGGTGTGTGCCAATGAAAGAAAAACCTATATTTGGGCTGTTAGCCCCCTCAGTCTTGGTAAGGTTGTCTTTTGGTTACCCTGATTTATCCTTATTTTATCTTTCTACCTTTGTTGCTCTGACTCTTTAATGAAGCATCAATAATCCACAGGCAAACGTTTTTGGACAACTCCATTAGTTGTGTCAAAAATTTAATATTGGACCTCTGCTAAAGTTCTCTTATATGCACTGAAAAAGCAGTGAGTTGTTCATTTCCTGTCTACTTTAGGAAGAACTGTTCACTTGCCTCGTTATGTATGAAATACTGGCAGGGTTTCATGTGCGTATGATCCTTCAGTTTACAGTTTTACACCTAATGAACTGTATTCAATAATTTGCTAATAATTTTGTAGTGGTTTCTCAATAGGCAGAGGATATTGATCCTTCACAGTACGGTCTATTTACACTGCCTTGAAGTCAACATTGTCTTTTTAAAAAAGAAATCACGGTAGTTTATAAGTTTATACACGTTAGTGCCTCAAAAGCTGAAGTACAAAACAAACAAACAAAACCTTAAATTAGCAAAGATTCTTCTCAAAATGAACTACAGATAGGACTTTTCTTTAAAAGATGGTGAAAACTGATAGCGAGTACTGTCATTTGTTTAGCCAGGATCCATCCCTATTTCATCCCTTGTACTATGTCCCTAGGCAAGTACTCCTTGCCACTAGTGGACAGATGTGGAGTTTTAATGACATTTGTTTACATTGCCTTCAGAGTGAATACATTCATCAGCTGTCAGTCAGACTAGGAGGAGGCAGTGAAAGCCAGGTGTAACTGCAGATGATGAAAATAACTTTTTATTCTTGGGCTGGTGGCTGGCTCTCCAGGTGAGGTAAAATTCACAATTACTGCTGAGGCCAAACTGGATACTAAGGATGCCGGAAAGAACACGTCTTCAGAAGAGAGGACAATTCGCAGGGACACCCTGATTCGAACATTACAAGTTGAGGTACAGTAAAAAATCTGCATGGGGTTAATTCTTTTTGGAAAATTCAGTGCCTATGGCTGTGGGTTAGAAGCAGTTAACTAGTGTGAGGAGGCAAGACAGCTGACAGATGGAGCTATGTGCAGTAGGGCGTCTCCTTATGAATCCAAGAGTGGAATTCACAATGATCCATGGCATCCAAAAGCGTACACGTCCTGACACTCCTTGAATGTGAGCAGAGCCGTAGCCATAGCAGACATTTAATTCCTTACCTGTATGTGCCTTTCACCTGTGACTGTAATACCAGGGAGGAGAGGACAGATATGAAAGGAATGGGATTTACCTTGAGCATCATAAAGCAGCAGGCACATGACTGTCCTCAAGTCCTTCTCAGAGGCTGGAACTGTCTATTTTATAACTGTTTTCTAAGAAGGATGGTGCTCAGCACAGTCTGTGGTTTAAGAAAGAGAGTAAGCCACAGCTCAAGAGATATTGCAGTGGAGATGGCAGGACAGGGTACAGGAGAGTGCATTCTCTGGATAGCCACTTCCATGTAATGCTATACACTGCTTAATTGTTCCTGATTTCATAGTGACATTTTACACTTTTTTTCTCTCTCTGACAACTTCTCTGCAATCAAACAGCCTGAAGGTATCAAAAAAGAATTGACTCAGAGCTCCCTAGTTTGCACAAAAGGTAAGGCAAATTTATTCATTCATTTGAAGTAACTGATGGAAATACCTCACTGCCTTCTTGATTTTCTCCTATGAAAACAGAGATCTTCCCAGGGGAGGAGGGATGGTCTCAGGGTTAAGGAGCTGGGCTACAATTCAGAGTTTTCAGAGATACCTTAGACTCATTGGGTATGGGCTCTGCAGTGGTTTCTTTACCAAGACAGCAAATAATAACTGTAGTAATGCATAGAAAGTAAAGATCGGGGGAAGGAAGATGTTTTCAACAATTCTTAGCTGTATTTTCTTGTCAGGCAAAACAGTTTCAGAACCAGTGTCTCTCAACCTGCCAAGAAACCTGGTGGAGGGATCAGCCAGAGCTTATTTCTCTGTCATCGGTAAGTTTAGTATCTAGACTAAAATTAAAAGTAAAGCATTTTTTCCCTTACAATGAACCCAGAGCCACCATGTATACATATGCAAAACTAAAGTTGAGGAGCTACTTCATCTGGATTTAGAGAAAATGTTTTCTACTTTCCAAAATGCCAAAGACAGAAGTTGCTCAGAATTATCTCATATTGTATCAAAAGAGGATAGAAAAAAGCAGTCAGATTATTATAATATATTACATTCCAGGTGATATCGCATTAGTGTAGTATGTGTATGTATATGTGTAGTAAAACAGTTGATTCAGCTGAAAATTAAGCTAGAGCAGACTTCTTGAAAAAACAAAACCAACACATTTTTATTTCTTGGAAAGAAGACTTCAGAGATATGCTGACAGCACAATTCAAATTTATACTTTTGCATAATGAAAAACGTTTGTCAGTTTATAAATACACATAGAATGAGACTTATACATCCCAATCAGCTCTGTGAACCTTAAAGTCATTATTAAGACCAACAGTTCTCCTCAATGAGGTTCTGAACTCCGATTGCTTTCTAAAAGTAATTGTTTTGCATGTCTGGGTCAGTGTGTGGTGTGCTGGTACTGTGGAATACAGCCTCTGTAGCCCATCAGCAATATACCCCCAAACCTCATTTTCATATGTACCCACCAAATGGGAAGCACATTGTAAAGGCCAGGGTATTCTAACCCTTCTAAGCATTCACAGCTAATTCTCAGAAAACATACCAGTCAGCATCAATCATTCCAGTGATTGGTTCCTTCCCAAATTTGCAGTTTTGCAGGCATTCAGCACCAAAAATCAAAATCAACATGGGGGTACTTCGGTCTTTCTTCTAAGCTGTGTCTTTGGTTACTGTGCTTACTATGTATTGGTCATATAGAGTATCATAATAATGTGCTCGTAATAATGTAAAATAAAACAATGTAAAAAAATGTGTAAGAAAATAAACATTTGAACTGAACTGGATTCCTTATACCTTTCATTCTTCAGGAGACATCTTGGGCACAGCTCTGAGGAATATGGAAAACCTCCTTCATATGCCATATGGCTGTGGAGAACAGAACATGGCCTTGTTCACACCCAACATCTATGCCCTTGATTATCTGAATAAAACTGGGCAGCTGACTGAAGAGATTAGAGCCAAGGGTACTGGTTATTTAATTACAGGTGAGAGCCTTTCACATTATTCCATTGTGATCATTGTGATCGTACACACTGAACTCTAGACAGTGAACACAGATCTCTGAATTCTAGCACCACATGTACTGCACATAAGCAGTCAATGACAGCACCCCAAAGAAGCGGTTGGTACTCTCAGGAGCAAAAGTAGCTAGAAATCCTAATGGCTGATATTATTCACCAGACATGTAGTACTTAATATTAAATACCAAAGTCTTACTGCTTCAGTTGAATAAACAGCAGGACTAGTCCTTTTCTGTGATAAGAATATGTCTTCTTTATTGTACTTTTAGGCTACCAAAAGCAGCTATCATACAAACACCGGGATGGATCCTACAGCTCCTTTGGGACACGAGATGGGGAAGGGAGTGTGTGGTAAGTGGTGGCACTTTCTATTTCCTTAGTTCAGAATCTTTGAAACAAGTTCAAAATTTAAAATGGTTTTTAATTTTAATTGTCTAAATGGACATAGCTCAATTAATTTGATCACCCAGTAAGTGAGATACTAATAAACTGGAGAGAATGCAACAGAACAATTATAAGATGATTATCGACTGGAACACATGATGTTCAAGAAGAGACAAGGAACTAGATTTGTTCAGCCTCTAGAAGAGGAGTCTAATGGATAAACTAGGTGCAGCCCTCCACTACCTAGACCAGAAGATCTGTAGAAAAGACGGAGTTGGACTCTTATTAGAGGTACACAGAGTAAGGAAAAGAGTTTTCCATACAAAATTTACGACAGAGAAAACTGGACAGAATGAAAAAAAGTCTTTTCCATGAGAAGGGTGCAACACTCAACCAGGTGCCTAGGGTGGGTGTGGAAATCTCCATCCCTGGATCCCTGGACTAGACAAGACACTGAGCAACCTGATCAAGCTTTGAAGTTGGCCTTAGTTTAAGCAGATGGTGGGACTGCAGACTTACAGAAGTTCCTTCCCACACAGATTATTTCATAGTTCCATTAGTTATGATAAGAAATTACTATCATCAGTCATCAAGATGTGTCTATGCTTTACCCCTGCTCTGAAGGAATGGCTTTAGCACAGTAATAGAGAAATCTCATGGCAGTTTGTAATACCAGGATTTTAACAATTTATTTAAAATTTATAAAGTACTCATTTCTTTTTACCACAAACGTTATGGAATTCATTCTATGTTTGTTTCAATGCATATCCAATTGCTGGTAAGCACTCTTTATCTTGTTCACAACTATTTGCTTTCTGTTTCTGGCTCACCTGTAGGCTCACTGCCTTTGTGTACAAGTCATTTGCACAAGCCAAACGATACATCTACATCGACAACAATGTCCAGTCACAAACTTTGATCTGGCTGGCAAGCAAACAGAAATCAGATGGCTGCTTTGAAAATGTTGGGTCACATTTCAACAATGCTTTGAAGGTAACTGAGTTCAGTATATTCTGAAACTTCCAGTCCTGCCACTGGGACTGATTTATATTATTTCTGCCAGACCCAAATTTATTATCACACCCGTACTCTTCCTAGTACCGTTCTCTAGTGTTGCTCGTGTATAAGCTGGGCAAGATTGTTATGTCTTCTATTGATTATTAGGTAGAAACAAGTAGAACTTTCTAAGCTAGAAGTCTCAGCTTTTATTTTCCACCACTGCATTTAGCTCCAGGCTATAACGTGCTTTATTGAAGACATGTAAAAAAAAAAGACACCAAAAATTTACAACTTTGGCTTTATCCTGAGTGATCTTTATTTTTCTTGTTCTTGTGCACACAGGGAGATGGAAGTTGCTTCTGGTCTCTACTCTATTATCTAGACCGTGAATGAATTCATATTTCATTTCTTTCTAGGATAGCTGTACTGACCTATTTTTGCTTGTGTTTTCTTCAGGGTGGAAAAGAAGGTGAATACTCGCTCACAGCGTACGTTGTGGCAGCATTGCTGGAGGCTGGACACTCTGTTGAGGTAGATATTTGATATTGTTATCTTTTATTAGTCTGGTCAGCCGTGTATGAAATAATGAGCAAGTCATAATCCTCCCATCCATATTTTTTATGTCTTAAATATTGATTCTAGGACAGTATGGTCAGCTCGGGAAATCTGTCTACAGAACTCTGCAGCTGCCAGAAGCATTTGATGTGTATTATAGATTAGTTACTTATCTAGTTTGTATAAGTTCAGCTGAAGGTGTAAAATCCCTGAGGAATCCAACTGTGTTAAACAATCACGGTCTATGTAGGTGTAAAATCTGGACTGAATTTGCCCACTCCATCCAGAGTCCAGTCTAGAATTCTCTCTGAATTTGTCCAGTCCAAAGTCTAAGCTATCCAAATCTCCAGTCCTACAACTTTCTCTGTGCCTTTATATCCAAGTTATGTTTCTATATTCCTGTGTCATTGTTAACACTGGAAGGAAATGATGAGATTTTTGAATACTTAGCTGGCTGGAATACTTAATAGGTTTGGGGGAATGAGAACTGAATTTTGTTCTCTGTAATACGCCTCCTGTATATCCTCGAGACCCTGGCCCAAATCTTTGTTCTTCCATAAAATAGGGAAGAAGAGAATTGTTCCCAGTCTGACAAATGTATTCTAAGCACACTGAGTTTTACAAGACTAGATGCTGCGAGATGAAGCATCATTTCTGTATCTAAGATAGACAGGATAAAAACATTTTACAGGATGATTCAGTCTTGTGGACTTCGTTCCCAATGTCTGTGAGAATCTCTGAAGCCTGGTGTCACCCCTATAAAGTAAGGCTGCAGTCAGACTACAGTTAACAGTGTGGTGGTGATACCTGAGCTGAAGCAGTGCTCATAGAGAGACTCTGTAAGGCTAAAAGGGTGAAGAGTTTTCTTGATAGCTATAGCTAGCAATGAGTAATAACATCCATCTGAGAGAATGTACTTCATCGTGAGTGCTCAATATACTTTACATAACTCTGTAAAAATATTCTCTGTTTTATAAATGGAGCAACCAAGAGTCAAAGGATTCACCTGCATAAGATCATCACACAAGTCAGAAAAAGAAACCGTGCACTGTTAGTCATGCTGCCTCTAAATAAATGCAGAAAGAAGGCAACATTGCTGCAAGACCATATTTTATAGAACACACACCGCAGGCCTTTAAACATGTAATGGACTGCATATATCTTAGCATGAGGTGTCAGTGATGGCAGCTTAAGAAGTGATGAAGATCTTTAAAGAGATGTCAAGACACAACCCCAAGTAACCTGACAACCCTACTATATTTTGTATTACTAGCATCCTGTGGTTCAGAGTGGCATGAACTGTTTGGAGGCTGCATTTAGCAATGGGATCCACAACCTGTATAACCAGGCCCTCTTTGCCTATGTTTATGGCTTAGCTGACAAAGAGGAAAAATCCAAATTTTTCCTTGAGAAGTTGGATAAAAGAGCTACCAGAGATGGTAAGTGAAGTATGGCCTTAATGCAGGCAATACAGCTGATGGGAAGGCCTTTGTTATGATGCAATTATTCTGATGTACAGTATTCTCATTCATGTTGCTCCCTTCTCATTTCCTGTCAGCTATGCTACTGAGTTTACCTCTATGATCTCTCTTCATGTCTTTTGGCCTCACAAAAGATTGAGCTGTGGCCTGGTGTTCTTAGAATTATGAAATAATCTAAGTGGTAATTGATGTCAGGAAGACTCCAGTCCAAGGTAGTGGAAGACTGCACATTGCCTCCTCTTCTACAGGCTGGACAAATCCAGCCTTCCCTTTACTGTGTCATGTGCTCCACTCCATGACCGTATTGGCATCCTACTGCTGCACTGCCTCCACTTCATCCCCCACTTTGACTTGTACAGCTTCACTTTATTAATTCCTTTCCCATCCCTTCCTGTGTTCTTTTCTGTACTTAAACTAAAACTCATACAACTCAGAACATTATAGGCTGAAAAAAAACTCTTAGGTAAAGGAAGATGAGGAATTGTATGCATATCTCCCATGTGATTCTGCAGTGAATTAATCAGCAAGTAACATTTTCATGCTTTTTACATCCTGCTTTTCTCTTTTCAGGTAGTTCAGTTCACTGGCAGAGAGAAAATAAGCCACCAGCAGAACATTACCCCATCTTCTATTCCCGTGCCCCTTCTGCTGAGATTGAAATGACCAGCTATGTGCTGCTGGCGTTGCTCAACAAAGCTGAACTCACTCCAGATGACTTATCATACATTTCTCGCATCGTGTACTGGCTTGTCAAACAACAGAACCCATATGGAGGTTTCTCATCCAGCCAGGTGACAAATGGGTGTGGTAAAAAGAATAGATTCTGGGAACAGTCCAGCCTGCAAGCTGGATCTCAAAAGTATCATGTTTCTTCATCACGTATTTGTTTGAATAATATTTGACAAATGGTGCTCATATAAGTCCCCTTGGTAGGGCACATTATGGTCTTCGTAGGCAGCTTCATACATTTTTGAGTTTCAGGAAATGGGAATTTACCCAGTTTTCAGGTTAGCAGAAGACAAGGGTAACTGTTGACAGAGCATTACATGTATACCAGATTTTCTGGGATAATTCAATCCCATTAACCCAGAACTTGTAGCTTCTCTCCTTAACTCTTTACAAAGGCCTCCTCCTTTTATGACTGATCACTGACAATGGAAAACAGTAATTTTGCAATCTCATGCTCTATTTCACAGCTGTGTATCTGTCTAATTAGGGATCGTATTGTTCTTTTCAGGACACTGTTGTTGCTCTCCAAGCTTTAGCCAAGTATGGATACCTGACCTTCTCTAAGGAAAGCCGTAACACAGTCAAGGTCAGCTTCATGCAGTTGCCCAGTAAGGCCTTCCAGGTGAATGACAAGAACCGCTTCTTACTGCAGCAGGCTTCCTTACCCACTGTTCCAGGGAATTACAGCATGGATGTGAATGGCACTGGCTGTGTCTATCTGCAGGTAAGCAAGCTGGAGACTCACCACGACCCTGGTGAGAACTAAGCAGGGGTCCTCTTTACCTCATTTTTTTCTATACCTCATGCCAAAGCCACCAAAATCTGTAGATCTGTGACCATCTCATGCTTTCCATCTCTTTTAGACAACCTTGAGATACAACGTGCATCTGCCAAACCAAGTTGCAGGATTTTCTCTCTCTGTACAGACAGCCAATGTATCCTGCACAAACAACTTCCCACCAAAGTTTGACCTTGTCATCTCTGCCAGGTAACTTCCTCTTCTTGATCTACCTTCTTGCATTCTCAGTTTGGTAAAATACCCAAGGGAGGATTTAAGTACAGGCAGTTAACCATTATTGTGCGCCTGCAGGAAGACAAACGGGACAATATCCTAACTCTCTCATCCTTCACTACTAAATTTCTCTCACTTGCTGTAAACCAGTGGAACATCAGAGCCATTCAGTTTAGAGATTATCTGAGTTGATTGTGAGTTAGAGCTGAAAATTTCATTCACCAGTCTCCTCTTCATTTGGACATTAATAGAAGTTTTCTCATTTCAGTTACACAGGGAACCGCCACGTCTCCAACATGGCTATTATTGATGTGAAAATGCTCTCAGGTTTTGTTCCCGATAGATCTTCCCTGAAAAAGGTAAAGAATGGGAGCAAAGTGAATGGTAAACCTTGAAAATAGAGGAGGTTGGCAAAAATAGTCACTGATTAGCAAATTGTGGACCAATGGGGATTCTACAAAGTCCCTGGTCACAGTCTTCTGTCACATACTCTGTCAAATTTGCAGCTCTTCATCTGCTGAAGACAAATCTGTTAGGATCTGCCAAATTCAGTAGCTCAAAAAAGGTGAGACTGCGTTCTCCAAGTCCAGTCAGCAAGTAAGGCCGAGCATGTGTTCCCAATAGGCACACATGCACACAATACACCTACACAGCTATAAATGACTGGCCACACAGATCAATCGAGACAGAAAAGGCACATATAGCACAGGTGGCCTTATCCTTTTCCTCTTTCTGTCTGATTAGGATGAAAGCTCATTTCTGGAAGTGGTATAGGTATATATGCATTAACATAATGTGGAATATCCCCTGGTAGCTGGCCTCAGACACTCAGTCTGACCAGTAGCTGCCCCTGGTTCCTTGGTCTGCCACACACTGCCTTATACTGGCACTTGGACACCTTCAGGGCCACTCCAGCCACTCCAGTGTCTGGGACTGAGACCTCTTGCACCTACACATATGCACGGTGGGCACCTCCAATACATAGACCTTAGGTATGTAGTCAATAATATAGCCGGACTTGTATGTTTTCCCAGTTGCCTCATGAAGACACATACAGACACAAACACACACAAACAAGTTGCTCTGCTAGCTAGCCCAGACTGCTGGCCTGTCCAGTATGTGACCCCAAGACCTTATTAGTGTCTCCAGTAACTAACCCAGACTTTCTGGTCCCTCCAAGTCAGATTCTCTGGTCTCTTCAGTATTTAGCCCAGACTTGTGGCTGCTTCAAAACTTGGCTGCCAAACCACATAACTTGTTATTCCTGTTATTCTATTTTGATATACACTAGCAATCATGAAACTTAAACTCCAAGTAAACAAAAAGAACAATGCAATTTATTTTAGAATCTTCTCACAGCTTGGTACATCTAAAAGCACTTATCATTCAGGCATGATTTTTTTTTTGTCTAGAACTGTAAGACATTCGTAACTTTTCTTTGGAAGATGAAACCCCCTGATGATGACATTATTGACATCCCACTCATTGCATCCATTTGGCAAAAAAAATAGCTTGTTTTAACATTTGAAACATTATATTTTATTTATTTATTTTTTAATAGTAAAATAATTTTGTTCATGTAGTTTTCTAAAACTTTTTGGTACTATTGTAATATTTTTAAAAAATATACTACAGAAAGCAAGTTAGTTCAACCTGCATAAATTATCGTGTGATTTTAAATTCTCGTTGAAATGACACTACGCTTAAGCTGATAAGTAGACACACACACCAAACCTGACCAGTAAAACCAGGATAATTTTCATTGTGGTTTATTTCAGCTTGCCATTGTATGAAAACACCCGACCTTTTGCATTTTTTATTTTGGCCACTAGATGTCACGGTGGCACAACAGGAGCACAGCGACCACTTTAAACATTTTGCTACCGTATAGCTATTTGTAAGTCTCCTTGACAAACCTCACGTTAAAATTGGTATCACTTGCCTTATTCATAGCTTCAGTACCAAGATTCTGTTGTGGATCGCGTAGACATCAAGAACAACCACATCTTCTTTTACCTTCAGAAGGTAAGTTTGGGAAGTTTCTTTCGGGTTTTGTTAAAATGGAAGTTTAAAATAGGCTCCCAGAGAAAAAGAAAAATCATATCAAAAGCAGATTAAGAAGACAAACCTTAAAGAATTAAAGGGACTTTACCCTGTCCAACCTCAAGTAAGTAAGTTACCTAGAAATACAATAGTTGTAGTGTACTGTGAAGAGCTTTGTTACTACTTTTAATACATGAAGAATGCTATGTGATTAAATAACATTTTGAAAACATAGCAAAGTTTCATTCCATATTGCAAAAAAATCACAGTCAGCATAATATTCCTGAGCCTCTAAGTGACACTTTTCATCATTTGATGAAAGCTGAAAGTGTATCATATGAAGTCAATATCATCCCCTCCCTTTTAGAGAGAGGTATGTATGAAAAGAGTGCTCCTCCCACATCAGTGACATTAACAAAGGGAGTGAGGGAGAAGGAAGAAAATCAAAACACAAGGTATCTTAAAATACCGAAAGGGGAAGGAGGGAGGAAGCAAAATGAATTATATCTACCTTTTATACAATAATTGTTATCAGTTGGTCTGCAAGGATCTAGTAAGGAAGATCGGAGGCAGTATTCTGAATTCACAGAGAGGCTGAGATGTTGAGATGGGAATGTTTACACAGCAGGGCACCGGTATTGCAGAAAGCTCTACAGAACCCCTGTCCATGGCTCCATGCCTATAAAGAGATCAGCAAGATAAAAACAAGAAGAAATGGAGAGGAAAGCAGGGTCACAGTCCCAGACATAAAGCAGAAAGCTTGAAGATGAGGAAGAGGAGTAAGGAGGAATGTTTGGGTCTGGCTACAAGAGTATGGATTGAGGAACAAAACAATAGGGGGGGGTGGGAGCCTTGAATTCAATGTGATTAGAGAAAAAAAAAGGGGGGGGGGAAGGTTCATAGGAAGGTGGTTTTAGCTGGGAAAAAGCAAGGAAATAAAATAACTACCTTTTAGTGAGAGGAAGAATGGTGATGTGCTGAAAGCTTCAGTAATCACAGAATGGTTGTATTATAGGCAATGGAAGTATGAAAAGAAAGAAGGAAAATAGCTCACAGGTTTAGCAACAAAACATATTTAGCAACAAAACGTGTTTAGCAACAACATTTAAACAATGTCTGATTTGATTTAAAGATTACAATCTGGAGAGAAGTGTAGAATGGTACTTTGTCATCTAGTCTGGCCCAGATGCATCTACTCAACCTTAGCCTCAGGACTAGACATGTAAAGAAAAAGTCCTCATCTTTTTGTCTTGCCATTTCCAGCTCTCCCAGAAAGCAATCAGCTTCTCCTTCAGTGTGGAGCAAAGCCTGCCTGTGTCAAATATCAAACCAGCAGCAGTACATATTTATGATTACTATGAAACAGGTAGGTGACCTCAGCAGACACACACGCACACCAAAAAAATAAAATAAAAAATAATAATTAAAAATATTTATCTCAGCATTTGCTGGGTGAGGACAGTGGATTTTCCCTTACTGTCTCTGTGCAAGCTTCTCTTCATGTTTCTGCTGCTTTTATTTCTCTTTGTTAGAGAAGCAAGCTAGCAATTTTTCTGCTTTCTCTTACCAGACTGCAAAGGGTTTTCAGAAACATAGACAGCAGATGTCCCCATCTTTTCATTTCTTGCTTCATTTAAACATATAGCAGGTTAGAAAGTGATGTGTCATGAGTTGCTTTCTTGCAAATTACATGCAGAAAGAAGTGTGGTTTCGCTTTCTTTCCCCAGTTTGGACATGATGACATAAAATCAGTAACCCAAAGACAACAGCATTTATGACTTCACTAATCTAGCTTGTCTCATATTTTTACTTTACATGGCCACAGTAGGCTGTGGTCAAAATACTAGCCTATACTGGAATTCAAATACTTAAGTAGGAATGTCAGTACTGCTGAACTCAACAGAAGCTTAAGCATGTAATTAGAATATTAAGAGCCTGACCACCTTTCTAGATATGTCCTCAAGGAACTACAAATATATCAGGCATTACCCAATTGTGGCAGTTTTGTTATCAAAACTGTGACTCAGGTTCTCAGAAGCTTTTCTCAAGTATAACCCAATGGTATAACCTTTGGGAACTATCTCAGCAGAATAGCAGCAGCATCCAGAGAATTCTGGAGTGCCTGTTCTACTACCTGATCCACATCCCATGTCATAACAGTAATCACAAACACTGCCAGAGGAGTGCATTAGGCACTGACTGTGCAGACCTGCAACTGAATGCCTTGACAACTGGAAGACCACAGCAAAATTTATAAGATGTTTTCCAATTCAGCATAATGTGTTAATCTTATGCACAGGGACTGGGGTCTGAATGATTTCTTACTCATACAACTGTCATCTTTCTTTTTTCCTTTCCAGATGAATATGCCCTTGCAGAATACCAAACACCCTGCTCTGCATCTTCCAACTGAAATCAGATACGTGCCAGAAGAAGTAATGGGTCAGAAGGTATAAAACAAGCATTTGTAGGGGAAGAAGAGGATAAGAGACTTGGTTGTTTATGGAGAGGGCAATGAAAAGTGTATAGAAGAATAAATCCCAATGTGACATCGATTAAAATGACACATTCTGGCCCAGGCTTTAAAAATGTTTTGGGTCAGTGAGGATCAGAAACTGCAAATAAAGTGGTTTTCCTAATAAGGGAGATAACTGTGCAACCACCCATCTTTTTGGAAACTCATGTCATATATTTCAGTGGTAGCTTTATGTAAAAGTAAACTCCTGAAACATGTATTTTTGGCCACCGATTCCTCTTAAGAAACCTAAAATTAGGAGAATAATCTGTTGCTGCTTCTGTAGATTTTGATTTGTTTTGGTCTTTCCATTTATCCTGAAGGAAAATACTGAAGAAATGACATTGATTCTCACATTTTTCAATGACTGAGCTTGGAGAATGTTGTTTACAGATGTTAGACTTCTAGTCACAGGAATACAACTTTATGCAATTTTTACTTCCACTTGGAAAGAGGGATTCTCTCCAGATTAACCTCTCATTTTTTACTGTTCTTTGGAATAAAACCTTCTGATTGATAGTCTCAATCTCCACTTCTTGCTGTAAATGGGGACTGTAAGGTTCTTCATAAACTGAACGGCTGAGGGCACTGGGCCTGTTCAGCCTGGAGAAGAGGAGGCTGAGGGGAGACCTCATCGCAGTCTACAACTTCCTCATAAGGGGGTGTCGAGAGGCAGGAGACCTTTTCTCCATTAACACTAGCGACAGGACCCGCGGGAATGGGGTTAAGCTGAGGCAGGGGAAGTTTAGGCTTGACATAACGAGGGGGTTCTTCACAGAGAGAGTGGTTGCACACTGGAACAGGCTCCCCAGGGAAGTGGTCACTGCACCGAGCCTGACTGAATTTAAGAAGAGATTGGACTGTGCACTTAGTCACATGGTCTGAACTTTTGGGTAGACCTGTGCGGTGTCAAGAGTTGGACTTGATGATCCTTAAGGGTCCCTTCCAACTCAGGATATTCTATGATTCTATGATTCTATATAATCAACAGGTCAGTCAGTGACAATGACTTACTGACATCAATGACGTCTTCACTCAAGGGGTGGTGAGGCACTGGAACAGGTTGCCCAGAGAAGCTGTGGATGCCCCATCCCTGGAGGTGTTCAAGGCCAGGCTGGATGAGGCCTTGGGCAACCTGATCTAGTGGGAGGTGTCCCTGCCTATGGTGGGTAGGGGGAAGGAAGGTGGAATTAGATGATCTTTCATATTATTAGATGATCTTAAACATAATCAGATGATCTTCTGTACTCTTTCAGTACAGAAATTTTTCCTAATATCCAACCTAAACCTCCCCATTTCCTCTTGTCCTGTCACTTGGTGCTTGGGAGAAGAGACTGATCCACACCTCACTGTCAATTCCTTTAAGGTAACTGTGGAGTGCAATAAGGTCTCCCCTGCGCCTATTTTTCTCCAGGCTAAAAGAACCCAACTCCCTCAGCTGCTCCTCATAAGGCTTGTTCTCTAGACCCTTCACCAGTTTCATTGCCCTTCTTTGGACACACTCCAGCACCTCAATGTCCTTCTTGTAGTGAGGGGCCCAAAACTGAACACAGTACTTGAGGTGTGGCCTCACCAGAGCCAAGTACAGAGGGACAATCATTTCCCTAGTCCTGCTGGTCACACTGTTTCTGATACAAGCCAGGATGCCGTTGGCCTTTTTGGCCACCTGAGCACACTGCTGGCCCACATTCAACCAGAATTGACCAATACCCCAGGTCCCTTTCCAGTGGGCAGCTTTCCAACCACTCTTTCCCCAACCTGTAGCATTGCATGGGGTTGTTGTGCTAGAGCACTCCTACCCTGGAGCAGATCAGTGCTTGCACCTAACTTGGTGTCGTCTGCAGACGTACAAAGGGTGCACTCAATTCCCTCATTCAGTTCATTGCTAAAGATATTGAAGAGAACTGGCCCCAGTACTGAGACCTGGGGGACACCTCTAGTGACTGACCTCCAGCTGGATATAACTCCATTCACCACGACTTTTTGGGCCAGGCCACCCTGCCAGCTTTTAACCCAACAAATCATACACCCATCCAAGACTTGAGCAGCCAGCTTCTTCAGGAAAATGCTGTGGTAAAAGGTGTCAAAAGCCTTACTGAAGTCTAGGTAGACCATACCCACAGCCTTTCCCTCATCCACTGAGTGCATCACCTTATTGTAGAAGGAGATCAGGTTCATCAAGCAGGACATGCCTTTGATAAATACATGCTGACTGTGACTGATCCCCTTGTTGCCCTGTAGGTACTCTGTGGTGTCAATCAAGATAATCTGATCCATAACCTTCCTCAGCACCAAAGGCAGACTGGAAGACCGGTAGTTTTCCAGATCCTTATTCCAGTCCTTCTTGTAGATGGGCATCACATTTACTAGCTGACAGTTGACTGGGACCTCCCTTGATACCAGGACTGCTCATAAATAATGTAAAGTAGCTTGGAGAGCACTTCCACCAGCTCCCTAAGTACCCTGAAGTGGATCCAATCTGGCCTCATAAACTTGTGTATGTCTAAGTGGAGTAGCAGGTCACTAAGCCTTTCCTCATGGATTGTAAGAGCTTCGTTCTGTTCCCTGTCCCTATCTACCAGATCAGGAGGCTGAATACCTGGAGAACAATCAGCCTTGCTGCTAAAGATCAAGGCAAAGAAGGCATTAAGTATCTCAGCCTTTTCCTCATCTCTTGTCACTATGTTTCCCCACAACATCCATTAAAGGATGGAGATTCTCCTTAGTCTTCTTTTTCTTGTTTATGTATTTATAAAAACTTTTTAAATTCTCTTTAACAGCAGTAGCCAGATTGAGCTCCGGGTAGGCTTTGGCCCTTCTAACTTTCTCCCTGCACAACCTCATAACATTTTTATAGTCCTCCTGAGTGGCCCGCTCCTTCCAAAGAAAAAAATGTCTTTTTCTTCCTGAGGTCCAACCACAGTTATCCCATTATTTTGCTAAGAGTTTATCAGGTCTCAGATCTTTGTACTAGGACTGCATTTCTTTAGAAGGAAGGTTGCAAGGAAATATCACACCTATGTTGCAACCAAAGCTGCCACTTTCTAGTCTGCAGTCTTCCCATTTTACCTGGTTACTTTCATTATTTTTCTACAGGAGACAGGTCTGGGCTTCAATAATGTTAGTTCCAAACAATTTACTAAAGGAAAGGATGTCATCCAAAGGGACACTGACAGGTTTGAGAGGTAGGCCCATGTGAACTTCATGAAGTTCAACAAGGTCAAGTGCAAGGCCTGCACCTGCATCGGGGCAATCCCAAGCACAAATACAGGCTGGGCAGAGAATGGATTGAGAATAGCCCTAATGAGTAGGACCTGGGAGTCTGGGTCAAAGAGAAGCTTGACATGAGCTGGCAATGTGTACTTGCAGCCCAGAAAGCCAACTGTATCTTGAGCAGCATCAAAAGAAGCATGTTCTGCAGGTCAAGGGAGGTGAATCTCCCCTCTGTTCTGCTCAGTATGGAGTGGCAGCACAGTCTAGGGAAAAAAAAAAAAAAAAAAAAAGTAGAATTCAGAGTAATTCGGCAACATCAGGACCTGGGAAAACTTGGAAACCAGCTGGACAGTTGTTCTAAACAGCTGAAGGTTTGGGCATAGGACCCTAAAGTGACACAATATTTTTGTGAATTTAAATGCAGGCATGCAGGCTGATGTGGGATAAGTGCCTTGACACCCACAAAAACCTGAATCCGTGCTCTGACTTTATTTTCAACTTTCCAAATATACCACCTGACATTTGAAAGTGCCCAGAATTTGGCAGCTTTTCATGTGGAAACACAGTGCATACAGATAAGTCTGAAGGGGCCCTTGTAACGAAGAATATTTACAAGCACATCATGTCATGTTTTTGGATACTCTCCTGAGAAAAGACAGAAAAGGGGATGGGGATCATTCCTTTGGGTTGAATTTAGGTGCTGCTTTATTGAAGGACAGGCATAAATAGTTCTCTGGCAATTCCAAATGAATGCCATGCAATGTGAATGTTGAGAGCTTCTACACATTTTGAAAAAAAAAAAGAATAACCTTTTGAGAAAAAGATTTTGTGAGGTGATTGGCTTTAACTTCTTCTAGTTCTGCTCAAAACCCAAAAGTCCTGTCCCCGGTATTTCTATCCCCATAAGAAACTTCCCCCTGAGCACAATACCTGACCTAAAAAGTCACACAAAACAATGTTTTTGTATTTGCTACAGATGGCCACTTGCTGAGGAATCAGCTATGACTCTGAGGACATTATGGTGCCAAATTGCCTTTTTAGTGACCCCAGGCTCCTCCTCACTCTCCCATCCCTGTCAGCAGAGATTGTGTGAGCTTAAAGAGTGGTAAATCAGGCTAGTTCAAACCACTTTCTTCAGCTGTGTACACTCAATCTGCTGTAAAACAAAGGCCTTTGTTTAATGCCATTCCAATGAATGGTCAACTGCAAGACTGGTCAGATGGAAACTGATATGAAATGCAGCTTATTTCTAAAGCACAGCATTTAAATTTTGTTACAAATTTCCAAAATGCTAGGCTGAGAGGGAGTGGCTGTGACAATGTCAATGGTATCTAGTAAAATCTGCATTTTATAACCTTTTACATCTATAACTTTCCTGTTTTACCTCCAGTACATCTAGTGACCTAAAGACTTTCTCACGGAGCTTGCATCATGTGAAGTTGCTGATGAAGGAACTTGGGAGTTCACTCAAATGTAATACAAGTCTGACAAGTTAAACTATATCCCACACTCTCAATTATTTGAAATTTTAATTTTGTTTGTCATGAAGTAAAAAATAGTGCGTTGGGGCTGTTTCACCTGACTCACTGTGATATATCTATACAATCCCATAGCTCACACAGAAAATTTGGGAAACTTGTCTATCTCTATGTTATGTTGTTTCATTCTTTCTCCCCGTATTTCACTACCTAAGAAATTTAATTTTAAATTGATTTATGAGCTCCGTAATAAAGTCTTGATTCTTAAATAATGCAAAAAATTAGATGCTGCATAGAAAACTATGACAGTAACAAGCATGTCATCTTGCAGTCAGTCAGTTGTCCACTAAAATATTTTTCCATATGAGTTCCATATCTTCTCCACATGGCCAAGCCACCTAGCTCCTGGTATCTCCTTACCAAAGCAGAATGCTTTCCTGTAGACAGAACTTACAAAAATATTACTTGAAAGAACAGAAAAAGATACAGAGCAAATACAGAAGAAATCTGACTTTATGTCTCTGACTCAGTAACTATTCAGGTGAATCCTTCAGCTCAGTCACCTTCTATAAACTTTTGATCAGTGCTGGAGGCTTTGCTGAGCTTATGGTCAATATATTAGCCCTGCTCAGTATTGTCACTCAGAACAAACATATGCAACATTACTAGCAGTGTTTCACATTGAGAGTCGTCTCCAACAATTAAGCTGTAATTTTCTCTTTCCTTTAACTTATTGCTTCCTTCTTGTCCACATTCTCTCTGCCTTTATTTGAGAAAGCCAGCTGAATTATATCAGCAAGGAGTCCCTGATCAGAGGCTAGTTGGCCAGAGAACT